TCCGCTCGCACGGCTGGCGACGGGGGCGGCCTGGAGCGCGCGGGCGGCGAGAGGCAGCGCTGCGAACCTTGGAGAAGTCGTCGTTATGTAACTGAAGTGCGTGAGGCGGCTGCGGCCTCCCTGTCACCTCGCAGCGGTGCTTCCGCCCTGCTACTGTTACGGTCCGCGTCATGCGCTGCGTTTTAATATAAATATTATTACTTAGTTCGCCACGCTCTGCAGCCAAATAAAAACCCAGAACCTCTTCCATAGGGCAAAATAAAACCCCACCTCTGCTCGTGCTTTATTTACCAGTGCCAGTTCACTTAAAGGTTCACCCACCAATATGAGGATGCAGCTGAGTGTTGGTAATTGTGCATTGGAAATGGACTTTTGCAGACCTTTCTCAAAAGAGAGTTTCAAGACCTTCGATTTACAGTTTTTGCTGGCATATTTTTACAAAAAGCATAAACTCTCACAGTACTCGATAACCCAGATTATGTCATCTGAGAGCCCCTTTAGGCCAGTCCCTGGCTGCCAAGGACCTGCAGCACTGACGGAGATGCTGAGGCAAATGAGGAGACACAGATGGGAAGGCGGGTTTTGGTACTTATTTCTACCATGCACATTACTGTCGTGTGGGAACATTTGATGGCTCCTGTTTGGAAGCTGTACTGTTTACACTGCCTCGGTAATCTGGAGCATCTAATGGCTCTCCCTCTTTCTCACACTCCACAGAGAAAGGAAGACAATAGCACAACAAAAACAATTACAACATAATAAAATAACAGTAATGTGGTTGCAAGAGTGGAACCATTGTCCTACTTTCTCCCCTCACAGCTTCCATAATGGGACAGGAGAAAGCCAGTTTGATGGGATAAATTGCTCATTCCCTCTCCAAAGCCTAACTTCATAAATGAAAAAGTCTATATTTGATAAAGTGGATACCCTAATCTTGCTCTAAACAAGCTAGACAGAAATAGGAAGTATCTCCTGTGCCAACAACATTAGATTAGACAGACTTTAGATTAGTCAAGGCTATCCTGCATTTTCATCCACTTTGCACCAAAATAAACCCATACCATGTCATTTCTTGCTACACAGAAGCCTTAGGAGAACTTGCTCTTCTACACCATTTGGAAAGTAGCTGAAAGCAAAACTATTAATTCACATACTTTTCCCAGAGTGCATTTTTTCTCATAATATCTGCTTTCAAAGCCACTTGAAGATACCATGCATTTAAGCACATGGCTTCCCTTATTAGACTTAGAGAATCATGGGGTCTGTAGCTTTGCCTCTCACAAAACTACAATTTCCAGTACCCTTACTACTGCCTGGATTCTTTGGGGGAAGACATGAGCTTTAAATGCATGTCATGCATGTGACCCTAGTAAGCTGAGCTGCTGATTTAGTGGGAATTTGAAGACTAGAATTGTATACGCACAAAGCATTTGAAACACATTCTTTTCTGCAAAGAATTTTGGGCACTGTTAGTTTACCCTTCACAGAGTTACAATTCCCAGCAGCCCTTAAAAACGACAGTGCTCAGAATTCTTTGAAGGAAAGAATACCCTTCAAATGTGTTTTCTAGGTTTAGTGTGTACACAGCCTATGGCACATCCAGATGATTGTGCAACAGAATACTGTAATATCTTTAGTATTATGTGAAGAGAGTTTGCCTTAGGGACTTTGGTTTCATGATAATGAGGTATATAGGTGTTCACATCCAAGCCACCTTGGGTCACACCCACTTTGGAAACATGCCTGGCCTAACAGCACCTAAGAGGCTTGGGAGAGGGAGGGGGTTGCAGACAGCTTCTATTTAATACACTATAAGGTGGTGTAGGTTTTATGGGGCCAAAATAATGTCGCTGGGAATCTAGTATTAACTGTGTGCTTGACCTGCTCAGCATATTCACTTGCAATTAAGTGGATTACTACAAAGACACCACAAATCTCCAGTGCTCCCTCTTTCATAGGAAACTAATCCTGTAAAAAGACAGACCTGTATTTTTAACAATTCAGGGCTTCTTCAACCACAGCTTCCTACATTTTCACTTTTATGCTAAGTTAGAAGCTGGGGCATATGAAGATTGTGTATCCTAAGAATAATAATAATAATAATAATTTATTATTTGTACCCCGCCCATCTGGCTGGGTTTCCCCAGCCACTCTGGGCGGCTTCCATAAAAACCAAAGATACAGTAAAATATCACAGATTAAAAACTTCCCTGAACAGGGCTGCCTTAAGATGCCTTCTGAATGTCAGGTAGTTATTTATCGCTTTGACATCTGATGGGAGGGCGTTCCACAGGGCGGGCGCCACTACCGAGAAGGCCCTCTGCCTGGTTCCCTGTAACTTGGCTTCTCGCAATGAGGGAACCGCCAGAAGGCCCTCGGAGCTGGACCTCAGTGTCCGGGCAGAACGATGGGGGAGGAGACGCTCCTTCAGGTATACTGGGCCGAGGCCGTTTAGGGCTTTAAAGGTCAACACCAGCACTTTGAATTGTGCTCGGAAATGTACTGCATTATTGCAGTAAAGGTACTGCATTATTTATTGAAAAAAAATATTAGCTGATCTTCAGTTTTGTCTCTCAGGGTGAGGTACAGCATAAAATACAGTAAATACAATCAAATAACAAATTGCATCAGCAGTTTAAAAAATGTGCAAGTTTTGCAGTTTTCCACATGTTTGGAGACTTAGCTCTTGGTATCATGGACTGCAAAGCCAATGGTTGCTCATTCTACAGTTGGCATGGATTCTACAGTTGGCATGGGAGGGGTGGCTAACACCCCAGAGGACAGGATCACACTTCAAAACGACCTTGACAGATTAGAGAACACACCACTAGTTAAACTGAGGAACAGAGGGAATTGCTAAGCGAAAAGAACAACAAAGCTCTGATTGTATGCATGGTTCTTTCCTCATTGCAAAATTATTTCAGGGCTGCGCAGTGGAATAGGACCCAACATAGCAGTGTTTGATAATGAAATTTATTTGTTAAAACAGCAATGTGAGTTCCATATTTCTGCTACAATCCACGACCACTAGTTCTTGGCAGTTCTACCCCTTTTGATGTCTATCATGGAGAGTCTAAAAATGTAGGCAGCTTTGTTGAGCCATATTTACGCAAATACAAGCACCTTCCCACCCCTGGAAGAAAAGCAGCAGTACAGTGGTACCTTGGGTTACAGACGCTTCAGGTTACAGAAACTTCAGGTTACAGACTCTGCTAACTGGGAAGTAGTACCTCGGGTTAAGAACTTTACCTCAGGATGAGAACACAAATTGCACAGCGGCGGCATCAAGAGGCCCCATTAGCTAAAGTGGTGCTTCAGGTTAAGAACAGTTTCAGGTTAAGAATGGACCTCCAGAACGAATTAAGTTCTTAACCCGAGGTACCACTGTACATAGAAAACCACCCAATTCATTAAGGTTTGCTGACAATCACTGAACAGACACTAATATGATAAATTCAACTTGCAAAAATCACTGAAATTTAACAAAAGATCTTCAGCCAGCTGAAATGCAGCCCTTAGTAGGAACCCCATTAAAGAAAAGGGGGGAAATATATCCAACCTTTTCTTATTTCCCTGACTTCCTGTATGCTAATCTATTGGAAATAATAGGAAAATGTGAAAGAACTCCTGAAGAAGCATAGTTGTACCACACTCAGTGCCAGATTTATGTATATAAGCTAAACAAGCTATAGTTTAGGGGCCCACTCTCTTGGGGACCCCAAAAAAATTTAAAGGGAAAAAAACCCTGGGTGTACATTTCCAAAATACTGTATAAGATAAAAAACAAATAAAATAAAACCTACATACAGTTAGAGCTTAATAATTATTTCACTATTAATATCCTTCTTCTTAATTTTATTTCACTATTAATATCCTTCTTCTTAATTGCATTTCAAAAACAGTGACAAATTGTTGTTCCCAAAGGACAGCTGGACAGCTGGACATATAAAGAGCCCCATTACCTTCAGTAGCTTAGGGCCTCATCAAACCTAAATCCGGCCCTGACCACACTAGTTCTCTTTGCACTAAGTACTGTACTAAGGCTTGGCAGAACATCGTGTACCATGAAGCAAGAAAGAAATCCAAAGCATCTAATGTCTTTGAAAGCTAGGAGTATAACAAACCCTGTAATTTGCTAATCATATGGTGCTTGTTATGACGTTAAGTGCAAGGTGGTGTGTTAGTGTTGCCTGAGTGTGCTTTTAATGACATGTTTCCACACCTGAAAAGTTTTGTTTCTTTTTAAGATTTCCACGTGATGCAGTTTCCTGCAAGTTGCTTTCATAATAATTAGAATCTATACCTGTAGTATTTTGACTACTGCGTTACTTATCTAGCCTAAAAAGAACCTCTCCTACTTCTTAAAAATTAGGCAATTACATTAACATTTACTTTTATGTTTAGTTTGCATATGAAACTGCCTGCTTCGTGGCTTCAGGAAGGAATGTATTCTGTTTGTGCTGGTGTCAGTCAAAATTGACAATCAGATGAAGGGAGTTTCATCAATTAACCGGTCCAAGTGAAGCCATTGTCCGCTTTGCACCATTTCAAATTTCAAAACTTGCTGCTGAATAAATGTCAGTCCGTGCCAATGCTCACTTAAACAGCTCTCCCAGAAGAGTCCTGGGAACGATAGCTTTTTGAGGGTGCTGGGCATTACGTACACTATAGTTCCCAGGACTCCTTGGGGGAAAGCCATGAGTGTTAAAAGTGGTAGAAATGTGCTTTAAAAATGTATGCTGTGAATAAGCATCTCAGTTTCTCCCACTCTTTTGCAAATAAGTGTTTCTGTCCTTTGCGGTTATTATGGAAAGGGCTAGTTGCAGGGAACAGTGTGTTCGTCTTGTGCTTATTTTTCCTTTAAAAAAAATCACAACATCAACAAATCCGTTTCAAATCACTCCTCTGGCTTGTCACAGCCGCCAACCCGAGTTGCAAAAGTGGAAATGGTTCGCTCCGCCAGCATTACACCCTTCCCTCTGCCTCGCACAATGAATGGTATGGCCAAGAAGCGTGCCCGGGTGGCTGTTACTGCCGCCTCTCCATTGGTGGAAACGCAGGCGCCCCTTCGCTGTGCTTCCGGATCTCCCGTCGCGCTTCAGGCCCGGAGAAGCTGCCGCGTGCGCGGGGTCTGCACTGAGGATGGGGATCCGGGACGGGACAGTGCAAGGTCAAGCGCCCAAGGGATCGCAGAGGCCTGGTGTGGAGGGAATGGCGGAGGCAGCAGCAAAGCCCGGCCGCAGCAGCTTTACGGAAGGGAAACAGACGGTCACCCAGCAAGGGCGGTGTGTGGGTTGAGCTCCGATTTAGTAAGTATCTCTCGCTGGAAGGGACAGTCTCGCTGGAAGGGACAGTCCGGTGTTTGACACACACCTGGCCACCAGTGCAGTGCCGGATTTACGTATCAGCTAAACAAGCTATAGCTTAGGGCCCCAATCTCTTGGGGGCCCCCCAAAATGGGAAAAACCCAGAATGTACATTTCCAAAATATAAGACCAAAAAAACCCCAAACCTACATACAGCAACAGTGTTTAGTGTTGTGTAGGCTCCTGTGATGTAAGTAATGGGCCCCCAATCATTTTAAGTTAGGGCTTAATAATTATTTTACTATTAATATGCTTCTTAATTGCATTTCAGTTCAACAATTACTTTGATAAAATACATATTCTGTTATGTGTAAATGGCTTTGCATACCTATTAGGTCCATAAATTACCATATAGCATATATTCAACACAAAAAACAGCGGCAATTTGTTGTTGACAAAGGACAAAGGACATATAAAGGGCCCCATTACCTTCAGTAGCTTAGGACTTCATCAAACCTAAATCCGGTCCTGCTTAGGCCAACCTTAAAATAATGAAATAAATAAGCGGACTTTACAACCCGATTTTAGCATTCCTCCCATAGCAGACACAACTGGAATGCGTCCTAAATATATTGATTCATGTCACCCCAATTTCCAAGAAGGGTAACTTATTTGGTTGTCCTGATTGTGGTGCTTAAAAGGCTAGCCATTAAAGATAAAGGAACTGGTTTGGCAAGCTTGCACAGATCCAGGATCTTAAGGATTAGAGGGGCATCATCCAGACTGACCCCCCCAAAAAAACTCCTATCAATATAAAAAAGAAGTGCGTCTTCAGCATATAACAAAAGTTGTACAATAGGGGAGCCTCTGTGGGGAGGGTTTTTCAGTAACATGTCTACCTCCATGGTACTTCAAGGGACTGAAGCTCTTTTAAAGTTTTGCCACAAGCATAGTGCGACCTGCTTCTGTGATGGTGAAAAAAGAGAGGCCTCGCAAAATAGGCGAGAGTAAGGTTGTGAAATGGGACCTTTAAAAAAATGAAAACAAATAGATTTAACTGTCATGGGTGTTTGAAGGTGACTGGTGCACTTACCTTAACCATACAGATGTAGCAGGTGGTTGTGCTTTCCCATCCATTCCTTGGTCCTCTTGATCAATTCCTCCGGCAGTTAAAGCGTGCGGTTTTATTTTACCCCCATTAAGTCTCAGAAGGTGTAGCAACAGGCACCCGGCCTCTTGCATTGCAAGTTTCTGTTGACCTACTAACATAAATTCTGCTACAGATTAACAGTCGTTTATCATTTATATCTGGCTGAGACAGAAGGTGCAAAGTACTTCACAGCATGCCCATTATTTAAATATGAATATTTGAATGCAGCTGCCACAGAGTGGAGCATAATGACAGCCTGGAAAGTTTGTTGTTAAACAGGAGCAGAAGTCCCCTAAGTGGGGAAAAGATTTTCTTGTCCCCCCCCCCCCAAAAAAAAAAGTTGAACAGGCACAGTATTAATATTATCTCAAATGCTTTCATTCTTTCAGGCCTTCTCAGACATAGTGCTAAATCACAAACTGAAATGACCCACGTTGCTCCAAATCTATTTATGCGATCTCAGCCTCGCCTGCTGTTGCCAGCTCTTTCAGCCTTATGGAATCAAAGACAAAACAGAAACTTTTTACTGCATTTTCGATATACATCTGATGTCGCTGCTGGAGAGAACAAGGCCACTGTACAAAGCCTCTATGAGTTATCTGTGGATATCAAGAAGATCCGTAGGCTAAAGCCATGGGTGCTCTCAAAAGAGGTGACGCACGTCAAGGAAACAGCTAAGATTTTGCAAGAAATGGGAGCGGACAAGAGTTCTGTGGCATATATTTTTGAACGTTGTCCTGAGGCAATTCTTTGTAGCCCTACAGATATCCATTATCAGAGAGAATTGTGGTTATCAGTCTGCCAAAATGAAAAACAACTAGTTGAATTAATAAAACGGTTCCCAGACTCCTTTTTTACAGTTAAAAACTATGAAAACCAGAAAGCCAACATTAGTTTCTTCAAAGATCTGGGACTGAAAAATGCAGTTATCAGCCGGCTCCTAACAAGCGCATCAAATATTTTTTATAATCCTGTTGCAAAGAACAAGCATATGATAGAAACCCTACAAAGTAACTATATAAGGCTAGGAGGTTCACAGGAGAATATGAAGAACTGGATGATGAAATTACTGAGTCAAAACCCATTTATTTTGTTAAATTCTTCGGCTGCTGTTGAAGAAAATTTGGGGTTTTTTCAGAAGAACAAATTCACTGACTTTGAAGTTTTGAGTCTGCTATCCAAGCTGAAGGGCTTTGTTTTTCAGCTTAACCCTAGTAGCATGCAGAACAGCCTGCTGTTCTCCAAGAACATCTTCAAATGCAGTGATCATGAATTAAAAGAGCTAATAATTAAATGCCCTGCCCTTCTCTACTACTCAGTTCCAGTTCTGGAAGAAAGACTGGAGGGGCTATTGAAGGTGGGAATTTCTGTGGACCAAATTAAACAAACACCTGCGGTGTTAGAACTGTCAGCAGAAATAGTGCAATATAGGATTAAAAAATTAGATGCCATAGGATACAGTCTAAAAGGCAGAACTCTAGAATACCTGAATGGGACAAAAAAGGATTTTGAAGTTACTTACGGAAAGATACAAGAAAAAAAGGAGAGGCCAATATTTAATCCAGTTGCTCCTTTAAACATTGAAGATTAATTTCTGGAATGTATTTAAGAATGCCACATGGGAGTTTGGGATGAAAGAGGTTTGTGTGACTTTTTATACTTGGAGAACACTGAATGTGATTGATACTCAAAATGGACTTTTATTCACACCCTACTTCTTTCAGTTTAAATGAATTTTTTTAAACACGGAACTCAGTGAGTAATGGGATTGCAAGTTTCTCCACCAAATTGGACACCATCTTATCAGAAACTTAACTTGAATGATGGTGCTGTTAACAGTGTTGCTGATACTGAGTGCAATATACTAACCAAAAGAAAGATAAACCCACCAGGTCATTCTGTATCAGTTTTCAGTAAGTTGACAAATAAAAGCTTTCAAAACAATGCCTTAAGGAAATAGCCCTGCTGTGTCACAGTTGCATAATTTTAACATCCTATTATTAGGATTGCCACACTCCTTAAGAGTGCTGGGAGTCTTTTGGATTCTAAGCACTCCTCTTCCTATCCAACAACCAGCCTGGGTTTTCACTTTTTTAAAAGCTTTTATAATTAAGCACACAAAATAAGCAGGGGCACTAGTTGTTGTGGCAGGCGCTCAGTACCAGAGAGAACTATGTAAGCTTGGATCAGCGAGGATGCTTTTAAAATCAGCCATATCAATTCTGCACGTTACATTTATTTTATCCCCAGTAGGACTAAGCATATGTAACCAGACAACACTGTGATCACAATATCTCATTTACAGTTTAAGACCCTCAGTGGAGGGTCGCCACCTTGAATGGCAATTAATTTCTACAGGATTTTAAGTCTAAATATTTCTATATTCTATCTTTGTTTCAGTCTGGCTACTCATTCTAAAAATAATATCCACATACAAACCAATTAAAAGTCAAACACCTGGAAGACACTCAGAATGTTTTTTACAAAGGTCCTTAACAAAAAGGAATTGGATGTTTCTGCTTTAATAAATGCTTTTAGGAATCTTCGTTAGAGTGTGGTTGAACAGCATGGAGCAGTAAACTGAAATTTTTCAATATCTGCAATCATGCTAGTCAAGGTATCCCAGATGAAGAGCTCCTTTTAAGCTCTCATATAGCCATGGGCTTCTTACAGTCTTTTGCTGTCTTAATTCAGCTCCCCGAAAAACACTTATTCAGAGAGTAGCGGTGATAAAATCCTTATGTTGGGATGGTTTGATGTATCACATTCTGGGTTTGAAGAATTCTGTTCTCTCACCCTTTACAAAAGTTTGATGTATAGAAATATTTTAAGTAAAATATTATGAAGCTGCCTTACCATTGTTCCAGCATTGTCTTCTCTGACTGGCAACAGCTCCCCCCATGGTCTTGAGTACAGATGTTTCCCAGCCTTGCTACATAATTTATTTTTTTAGCAAGAGAAATCAGGGTTAAACCTGCAGGCAGAGGATGTGTTCTACCACTTAAGCTACTGTCATTTCCCTTGGCAGCTGAAATAGATAGCAACAGCTGGATCATTTATATCAGACTGTTTAATGCACAAAATTCTAGAAACTAGAATAAGTGATTTTTGACAAACAATGGCTTTTGGCTGTCAGCAAAACAAAACAAAAATGAAAAACATTAATCTACTGTTTAGAATTAGAATCAATGAAGCTCAGGTGCTTAGCTTTTTCTTGATTTTAACACATACATTTTAGGAAATGCAGCATACAGAATTTTCATGTGTACCTCAGCCATCTTTATACTACCAAAAACACTACAAAGTCAACAAGAACACGCTGAAGAGTTTCCAAATGAAATTTGCAAGGCATGAACCCCATTAACCCGCATTACAGTCCACTAATTTGAGGGCTACTTTGCAGTTAATGGATTATGAATTAGGAGCAAGAGAACAAATGATAAATCTACATGTTGCTCAGGAAACCTTGAAAATGTATGTGTTAAATTAATTTCTATGCAAGTCACCTAGTTATTTTTAATCACTTGGATTTTATCCTTGCCAGTCTTCAGTGCTATTTTGTCATCATCCCCCCCCCGCCCCCATTTTCAGCAAAACTACCTACTGAGGTGCAAATTCTAGGAAGGTCTATGTTTTCATAGTGAAAATGGTATTGTCTAACCCATCAACCAGGGCTGCTGCACAGACTCTACTCATTTTCATCTGCAACACTGAAACAAATGATGCATAGCTGCAGCTGCTGTTGAATTCATGACAGTGTTCAAGAAGCGGGTTTTAGAATCATTTGTATTGTTGGACTAGAAGCCACAAAAAGTGTTTTTATTCTAAGCTAGAAGTTATCCAGTAATGTATGGACTGTAAACTTGGACATACACTTCCGTTTAAACAAACTAACAGCACAAAGGAGTTTTCATTTTGAGGTGGGGGTTTGGAAACCAGCAAGTTACACCTGAGATTTAGCAGTCTTCTCTTCAGTCAGTATGAACAGTGTTAAAAAAGTAAAGCTTCTTTCACAGACTGCATTGAAATGAGGGAAATTACAAAATCCTTCCAGTCACTAAGAAAAAATAGATTGTTTTTCACCGTAAGGCATGAATGATTAGATTGGTATACCACACAACTACATATATATAGAGGCGCACGCACACACATGCACACACAGAGTGAATGCAGTCACCATTCAGAGTTTATAGAGTGTATAAAAATAGGTTCAAAAAGCAAAGATATATGAAGACCCTTTAAGCAGTTCAATGATTCTTTATAAAAAAAAAATACAGACGCCATAGGCTTGCAGCTAGAACATCAATATATTTATGGTACTATAGAAGTTACCAACTGAGGACATGATCTAGCCAATATTTAAAGCACTTTGATGTTCAACTGATCCTAAAGGGGCAGGTAAGCACAGGCTTTAGCTCTTCCCATTGGGACCAACAGGACTTCAAAGTGCTTCACCTTTTGCTAGGTCATCCCCTCCATTTTCATTTTCACATTTTTAGTTCAAGACTGCAAAATAGATCTACAGTGAATATTCATATGTGAGCTACCCTTTCAGATCCATGTACTTGATTCCATGTTCATCAAGTGTAACATTTCACAGATGAGTGCTTGAAGAAATCTATCGTTTTAAATGAAATTCCAGACACGGGGGTATCACACGGCTCTTGTCCCTTTCAGGTGAAAGTCATTCACACAGCTCTTTATAGGAGTCTTAGGACCTGTGGTTTTGTAGCAGTCCATTTCTGCAGATTCCACAACCACAGGAGCAACTTCCTTGGCCTCAGTTGTTCTTTCTTTTAGTCAGACTTATCCTTCTTCTTCCCTGTTAAAGGCACTTTGCTTGTGATAGCAGATCCTACAGCTGTAACACCTCCTGTCACAGCAGAAACACTTCCTTTTACCAATCCTACTCCCATGGAAGGCACGGCTGTTACTGCGGTTTTGGTCATTTCTAGGCTTTTCCCTCCTATCCATGCTACACCACCAATTGTGGCACCGACAGCTCCCTTTGTTATGCTGAAGAGGCCACCAGTCACACGAGAAAGCATGCCGGGCTGCTGCTGTGGATGATCTTTTAATGAATCTGAGAAGGAGAGAGATAGTAAGACAAACAATTACAGATCCTTCTACCATGACATATACCACATGGACTATAAGCATTCTATGGGATGGCTGTTGGAAGAAGCCATTGCAAGTTTTTTTTTAAAAGGATAACATTTTCAAAAAAGATATTAAAATATTTTGCGTAATTGTTACACTTGCACCACTTTTTCCTTTATCAAGGTGTTATCTCTTGACTTCAGTCTTGTAAATAAACTGGAGCAGTGCTTATTTGGGGGGGGGGGGGATAACACAAATTTCCAGAGTCTCAGAACCTTTCAGGAGCACATGGAAGATTCTGTCTAACCCAAACCTACTTTTACAAATGGCCTCGTCCTTGATTTCCTCTCTAAGGAATCCTGCAACCTTTGGTTATGATTTGCTTGCATACTGTGTATGCTTTGGGAAGAACTAGGGTTTAACCATTTTCATAATTCTCTTTGGAAAAGAAAGGTTTTGACCTGCCTTTCAAAATATAGTAAGGAAGGAACATTCCCTCAGATAATCAGGAGCCAGGATGTTTCCTTATTTTTAATGCCTCAATGTCATTTCCAGGCTTCTTCCAGATGTGCATGCCAGTTCCCCACTGGGAAGTAGCTCATATACCCAACCCTTAAAACAGGGATGGCCAAACTTGGTCCTCCAGCTGTTTTGGGACTACAACTCCCATCACCCCTAGCTAACAGGACCAGTGGTCAGGGATGATGGGAATTGTAGTCCCAAAACAGCTAGAGGGCCACATTTGACCATGCCTGCCTTAAAAGATCTACTCTGTGTATGGTTAATGTTGGATACACCCCCTAAGTGCCAAACTCTGCATGCCATGTTAGAAAAGAATAGGCTAGAATCCTTTATACATTTACTTGGGAGTAAATTCCACTGAACTCAATGGGACTTGCTTCTGAATAGGTCTGAATTAACACCATTTTTTTCTTGTTTTACCAGACTTTAACAGGTTCAGAGCAGTAGAATAATCGGGTGCTTCCAGACATAACATTTTGTAGATTACTGGCTCTCCAGAGCACCCACAAGTCTCACTTCTACTGTCAACTCCCATGCTGATAGCTGCTTGTCCGTGTAGTACAGAGAACACAGCTACCATCATGCCAACACAATGACTGTAAGCTCTAAAATAATCACTAAGAAATGAGCGATAATTCTTTCCACACCCTTGTTATATGATGATGATGATGATGATGATGATGGTGATGATAGGCATTACTCAACTGTTGCTACTGAGAGTGACTAAAGTCAAAGTATGCTCAAGAACTGCACAGTCCAGTATTAACAACCACTTAAACCTGATTGTGTATCTAAGTACTGCAGAGGAGTCACGAGAAAGCCTAACAGTGGTTGACAGATCAGTTAGGTGATCACTCCTTTCAGAAGCCTGTGAATTTCAGTTTTTATAAGATGAATTCTCTATGTGAAAAGTGTCTAAGTTATCTGAATTTCTGAACCACATGCTATGAAGCACACAAGTCCATGAAATAAAATGGAATTGACCACTGTGAAAATCAAGCCTATTGGAAAAGACAAACTATGCAAGATATAAGTTCCTAAATTTCATTTAAACCAATAAGTTGGTAATAGCAAGACATACGCAGCCTAAAATAGAAATTCAGGAACATAAGAGAAACCAATAGGCCAAGGTATGCAAGAAATAAAACAGGATTTATTGGCATATAAGCATGTACAGCTTCTGTGCTGTCCTATACACTAACCGCATCTCATTCTCTGAATGTGGATCCTTATACAGCCAAAACAACACCATCCATACATAGCAGGGAGGAATCAGCATTGTTTTGGGAATCAAAGGTTTGCGGAATTTACCAAAAAGCATATGCCAGGGAAGATAAGATGCTAAGAGCTGGACCTGGTTGTTAAAAACCCAATGCCTCCTCAGCTGTGAAGCACACTGTGTGAGCATGGGCAAACACAATTTTAAACATCAAAAAAAATTTTTTGTGTGTGATTTTCTTTGCAGAGTCAGCTATAGTCTTGAAATTGAAATAAGTTCATAAGAGGGAAACTTATTCACAATTTAGTAAATAACTGATTAATAATGAATAGATGGACTACATTTCAGCCCCCACATTGCATTGCTCGGCTCCTCAGCACTAAGAGCAATCATTTTCTGAAGTAGGCTTGATGAAATCCTTTAGCACTGTAACATACAAATATTTCTTCTTCTTTTTTACAAGTTTACTGAGAAGTAAGTCTCACTGGATTCAATGGCACTTACACCCAGGAAACACAGGGACAAATAGGGTTGTAGCCAAAACCTTGAAGCTGACAGAACCATGGTAAACTTGTTATTGAAATTTACCTTCTGGTGGCTCCTCATTAAGATATGCAGGGACATCTTGTTCATTTCTGTCTGTTTGGTTCATTATTGCCTGTGGGAGAAAAACAACCACCGAGTTCTCATTTACAATATAGGCA